CTCTAACATTTAGGCCTTTGATCTATTTTTAGTTTTATTGTGCATGGTGCAAGGTAGGGATCTAACTTCATTTTCTTTTGCATGTGAGAATGCAGTTGTTCAAGCATCATTTGTTGAAAACACTATTCTTTTCCCCTTGAATAATCTTAGCACCTTTGTTGGAAATTAATTTGACAGTAAATACAAAAGTTTATTCTGTACTCTTGATTTTGGTTCCACTGGTCTATATGTCTATCCTTATGCCAGTGCCATAAGCTTATTGCCCCATGAGGTTGATCCTTGGGTTATTAACATATCCTCCAAAATGAAAGAAAGAAATTCTTATACAGTTCTAATATTGTACCTTTGTAGTAAAGTTGGAAATTAGGCACTGTTAAGTCTCCCAACTTGGTTCTTCTTTTTCAAGATTGTTTTGGTTATTCTGGGTCTTTTACATTTTTACCTAAATTTTAGGATCATCCTGTTAATTCCACAAACAAGACAAAGGTAATTTTGATAGGGATTGTGTTGAATCAATATCTCAATTTAGGGAATATTACTATCTTGAAAATCTTGTTTTTCTGTTTTTAAGAATGGGGTGTTTTGCATTTATTTAGATCTTTAATTTCTTTCAACAATGTTTTGTAGTTTTCAGTTTACAGCTCTTGTATTTCTTAGGTTAAATTTATTTTGAAATATGTTATTCTTTTTAATCTTATTGTGTATGGAGTTGTTTTCATAACATCACTTTCAGATTTATTTTTGCTAGTGTATAGAAATAGTATTGAGTTTTGTATATTGATCTTTTGTCCTGCAGCCTCACTGGACTTGTTTATTTGCTGTAAAATTCTTTTTAGATCCCTTAGGATTTTCCATATATAAGATCATGTCTCCTGTGAATAGAGGTACTTTTACTTTCCAATCTGGATGACTTTTATTTTTCCTCTTGCCTAGGATCTCGAGTATAATATTAGATAGGAAGTCCCCTACATACGAATGAGTTCTGTTCCGAAAGTGCATTCTTAAGTCCAATTTGTTCATAAGTCCAACAAAGTTAGCCTAGGCACCCAACTAACACAGTTGGCTATAGAGTACCATATTATAATTGATTTATAATACTTTTCACACAAATAAAATGCAAAAAACAAACATGAAAAATAAGGAAAACATTTTTAACCTTACAGAATAATACCTTGAGAAGTACAGGACAACACCTGACCTACAGAGGCTGGTACAGAGTGAATAGGCAAGAAGAGTTACTGATCTGAAGAGGGAGAGGAGGTGGGAGACGATAGAGCTGAAGCATTGTCAGCAGTAGGAGACGGAGGGCGAGCTGCAATTTCACTCCCGCCTGATGTTGATAGCACAGGTTCTGGTTCCTTGCTGGATTCAATTCTACCTACCCTTTTGATAAAATGATCCAGTGATGTCTGGGTAGTGCCTCTTTTTTTCTCATCATAGATGATATCTTGGGCTTGAAATTAAGACACTATACTACTCACTCTAGACAGTGCGTGCATGCTCAGTCGTATCTGACTCTTTGTGACCCCATGGACTGTAGCCCACCAGGCTCTTCTGTCCCTGGGATTCTCCAGACAAGAATACTGGAATGGGTTACTAGTTCCTCCTCCAGGGGATCTTCCCAACCCAGGGCTTGAACTAGCATCTCCTGTGTCTCCTACATCGGAAGGCAGGTTCTTTTCACTACTGAGCCATCTGAGAAGGCAATTCTCGACAGAACTGTAAACGACACAAAAGCGCAACCACTTGTAGAGGATGCACACACGTGATAATGTGCGCCAGATAAGTGAGCTAACTTAAGACACAAAAACGCATATTCGAATCTTTGAGAGCTCACACTTGAAGGGGACTTACTAGGTAGAAGTGACATGATTGGGCTTCATTTTCTTGTTCCTGATCATATGGGGAAAGCTTTCAGTCTTTCACCACTAAGTATAATATTAATATTAACTGTGGGTTTTCCTTATATATCCTTTATCAGGTTGAGGAATTTACCTTCTATTCCTGAATTGTTGCATATTTTTCATCATGAAAGGATATTGGATTTTGTGGAATGATTTTCTGCCTCTATTGAGATACTCGTCTGGTTTTGACCTTTATTCTATTAATATGGACTATTAAATTAATTGATTTTTGTATGTTGAACCAGCCTTGTATTCTGGGATAAATGCCATTTGGTCATGATATATAATTTTTTATAGTTGCTAGTTTCAGTTTGCTAGTATTTTGTTGAAAATTTTTGCATCTGTATTTATAAGATATTGCTCTGCAGTTTTATTGTATTTTTTCTGGTTTACATATAAGGATGATACTGGCCTCAAAGAATAAGTTAGGAAGTGTTCCATATTATTTTTTTTTGGAAGTATTTGTGAAACTTTGGTGTTAATTCTCCCATACTTGTTAGGTAGAATTCACCAGTGAAGTTATCTAGACCTGGACTTTCCTTTGTGGGAATTTTTTAAATTACTAGCTCAATCTCTTTACTTGCTATAGTTCTTTTATTCTTTTGTCAGTTTTGGTTCAGTTCAGTTCAATTCAGTCATTCAGTCATGTCTGACTCTTGTGACCCCATGGACTGCAGCACGCCAGGCCTCCCTGTCCATCACCAACTTCCAGAGTTTACTCAAACTCATGTCCATTGAGTCTGTGATGCCATCCAACCATCTTATCCTCTATCATCCCCTTCTCTTCCTGCCTTCAGTCCTTCCCAGCATCTAGGTCTTTTCAAATGAGTCAGTTCTTTGCATCCGGTGGCCAAAGTATTGGAATTTCAGCTTCAGCATCAATCCTTCCAGTGGATATTCAGGACTGAATTCCTTTAGGATGTACTGGTTGGATCTCCTTGCAGTCCAAGGAACTCTCAAGAGTATTCTCCAACACCACAGTTCAAAAGCATCAATTCTTTGGCGCTCAGCTTTCTTTATAGTCCAACTCTCACATCCATACATGACTACTAGAAAAAACATAGCTTTGACTAAACGGACCTTTGTTGGCAAAGTAATGTCTCTGCTTTTTAATAAGCTGTCTAGATTGGTCATAACTTTTCTTCCAAGCAAGTGTCTTTTAATTTCATAGCTGCAGTCACCATCTGCAGTGATTTTGGAGCCCCCAAAAATAAACTGTTTCCCCATCTGTTTGCCATGAAGTGATGGGACCAGATGCCATGATCTTAGTTGTCTGAATGTTGAGTTTTAAGCCAACTTTTTCACTCTCCTCTTTCACTTTCATCAAGAGTCTCTTTAGTTCTTTATCTTTAGTTCTTCTTTGCTTTCTGCCATAAGGGTGGTATCATCTGCATATCTGAGGTTATTGATATTTCTTCCGGCAATCTTGATTCCAGCTTGTGCTTCTTCCAGCCCAGCGTTTCTCATGATGTACTCTGCGTATAAGTTGAATAAGCAGAGTGACAACATACAGCCTTGACATACTCCTTTCCCAATTTGGAACCAGTCTGTTGTTCCATGTCCAATTCTAACTGTTGCTTCTTGACCTGCATACAGATTTCCCAGGAGGCAGATCAGATGGTCTGATCTTTCCCATGTCTTAAAGAATTTTCCACAGTTTGTGGTGACCCACACAGTCCAAGGCTTTGGCATAGTCAATTTTGGTAGTTTTTGTCTAAGAATTCATCCATTTCACCTAGGTTGTCTGATTTGTGAGAAAACAATTGCTCGTGGTATTCTATTTAGATTTTTTGATCTCTGTAAGTTTGGTAGTGATGTTCCATTTTTTTTTTTTTTTTGTTTGTTCCATGTGTGGCTTGCAGGTTCTTAGTTACTCAACCAGATATTGAACTGGTTGAGGTAAGTCCAGTTGAAGATTTCTTTTCTCTGTATTGATCTTTAAAAACAAACAAACAAACAAACTTTTGGTTTTGTTGATTTTCTCCTTTGCTTTGCATTAACTTCCACTTTATATTTCCTTCTGCTTGCTTTGGGTAGTTTAGTCATCATTTATTTAGTTTCTTTTTAAAAATATTTTTTTATTTATTTATGGCTGCACTGGGTCTTCATTGCTACATGTGGGCTTTCTCTAGCTGTGGTGAGAAGGGGCTACTCTTTATTGCCATGAGAGGGCTTCTCATTGCAGTGGCTTCTTTTTTGTGGAACACAAGCCATTTATTGTTTAAAAAATATTTCCTTAAGATAAATTCTGTTTAGCAATGTTTGCTATTAAAGGCTAAAAACATTTTATGTCTCAAGTTATTTCCAAAAGGATTATGCTAATTTATATTTTCATTAATAATATATGTGTTTCTTTACATTCTTTATAGGAGCTTTTACAACATTGCTATTATTGATTTTTAATTTGTGAATATAGAAAAATATATTAAAATTGTTAATGAGGTTGAATGACTTTTATGTCTGCTCCATTTTACGTGAATTTTCTCTTCTGTGGTCTTAAAAGTACTGTAGCTATCCTGTGAATGATCATTGACATTTTCTTCATTTCTGAAAAAGTGAGATTTTCATACAGAATTTTATCAAATAAAACCACTTTAAAGTTGTTTTCCTTAATATTAAAATATCTCTTAATCTATGTCACAGTTTTTCGAAGTACTAAATGCTGTCTTTTTCATCCTAGCAGTGAAACTACGCTTCTTTTTTTTTTATTATTGTTTATTTTTATTAGTTGAAAGCTAATTACTTTACAATATTGTAGTGGTTTTTGAAACTACACTTCTTAATGTTTCTTAGAAGCTAGTAGTAATATGGCTCTCAGATATTCCCAGAAAAATCTCATCTAACTCTAGCTATAATGTAAAGTATCAATTGATTTTTGTAAATATATTGAATTATGTCATATATTGTTTCTTGAGAGAAATGTAGTTTGAATGTTAGTTAATATTAAAGCAAACTTTTAGAATGTATCCCTTTAAAAGCTTAGCAATTATTTTGGTGATTGTACAAATGAAAATGTTTCCTGAAATTGATGGCTTACTACAAATTCTACAACATTGCTTTTCCTTGTGACTTAATCTAATTTTTGCTTTTTCCCAGTTTAAGGCCAATCCTCCTGCTGTGACTTTCAAACTAACGGGGGAGACAGATGGCATATTTCAGATACAACCTGATGGACTTCTATATCACAACAAAACCCTGGACAGGGAAACAAGAGCTGTTCACAGACTGCAGGTGAGCTGACACCAGACACCGGACACTAACTCCAATCTCTGAGCACTGGAAATATCACTGACACTCATCCCCAGCACAGAATACCGTTTCCACTCTCCTGACCCTGATGACCTGTTTGCACATCTCATTTGTCCACATTTTTTTTTAAACCAACTAGAGAGTGATTTGGTAAAGGTAGCCTCGTTTTTAGGCTTTTTGACCAGGGTAACCCAAGTTATACTGCCAAGGCTCTCAGATGGGTCACTCATCCCAAGTAAGGCCCTACTTAGGCACCTGGATCAAAACCACTCGACACTTCTCTGATGTTTCACTGATGTCTCGCTCTGGCTGTTGGGTGGGCTCTGGCTCTGCAAAGAAGGCAGCATCGGTGCTAGATGGCACACCTTTGGGCCTTGCAAGAAGCAGCAGTAACCGATGACCAAAGTCAGAGTCTGACTAAAGAGACCTCCTCCCTCTCTTTCTCCCTTAGATTTCATGGTTTGTATCTGAATACACAGAAATGGTAGAGAGCTAACTGTGGGTAAAGAGCAGACCAGAAGCTTTCTGTTGGTAAATCTGCAGACTGACCACTAAAGTGCCTCTGTAACAGCACGTGACGTTTCCATACCCTCAAGGGTCAGAGTGTTCTTATTTCACTGATTCTAGCTATTTAGAAAAGAGCATGTCCAGTGTCCAGCATATCCCACTGCTGGAAAAACACAGTCATGATTAGCTTGGCTTAACTGATAGGGCCTCTATTTTAGCAGCCCCCAATTTGGGCTTTTATGGGTGTCTTTCTCCCCTGTAGTTATCAGATTATTGGTTATTTGGGCTCTAATTTCCTTCAAGTGAATTTTGGATGTGTGATATGAGGTTCAGACTTACCAAGAAGGTTTCCTTTTCCTGTCAACATCAGGTCTCAGCCCTGGATGCTCAGGGCAATACAGTGGAGGGCCCGGTCCCTGTCACCATCGAAGTGAAGGACATCAACGACAACCGACCTGTTTTTCTCCAGCAACATTATGAAGGCTCAGTAAGGCAGAATTCTCGCCCAGGTAATAGGCAGGAGCCTGGAGATATTTGGCAGAATGGCAGATTTGTGTGGTTAACAGCTATGGCTATCATTCATTAAGCGCTTACTATCTTATTTAAGGGCTTCCCTTGTAGCTTAGTTGGTAAAGAATCTGCCTGCAGTGCAGGAGACCCGGGTTCGATCCCTGGGTCAGGAAGATCCCCTGGAGAAGGAAATGGCAACCCACTCCAGTATCCTTGCCTGGAAAATCTCATGGACAGAGGAGCCTGGTGGGCTGCAGTCCATGGGGTTGCAAAGAGTCAGGCACGACTGAGCGACTAACACTTACTTATCTTATTTAAATTTCACAACAGTCCTCCGGGATTTGTTTTATTACCCCCTTTTCTCAAAGGCACAATTTCTCACCCTTGGCACTACTGACATCTTAGGCTCTATGATTCTTTTTTGTGTTGTTGTGTGTTTTCTTTTTTTGGTCAGGGGCTGCTGTTCTGTGCATTATAGGATGTTAGTAGCTCCCCTGATATCTATCTACACATCGGATGCCAGGAGCAACACTTCCCTTCTTTCTACTTTGATAGCAGAGATGTCTTCAGACATTGCCAAATATCTCTTGGGGGCAAAATCACCCCCAGTTAAGAGATTTTGGAATACCTTACAGCTCTAGAGGGGGTTCCCTGGTGGCTCAGACAGAAAAGACTCTGCCTGCAATGTGGGAGACCCGGGTTCAATCCCTAGGTGGGGAAGATCCCCTGAAGAAGAGAATGGCAGCCCACTCCAGTATTCTTGCCTGGAGAATTCCATGGACAGAGGAGCCTGGCGGCTACAGTCCATGTTGTCGTCAAGAGTAGAACATGACTGAGTGATTAACACACACACACACAGCTCTAGAACACTCTGGAAGGGTAAGCTTACTTTCCTACATCCTCCCAGGAATCCACATTCTCATGGTCACTGCTGGCTCCCGGTTCTTTTTCTTCCCTTACTTCCAACTCTTAGCTATGGCTCATCCTTTCACAATTCTCTTACCTTTCGTCTCCAGGAAATCCCCTCATCAAAACCTAGGAGTGTGTGGTAGGCTTTACTAAAGATTTAGAGAAACGAAGGAGCATCTTGTCATAACAGTGCACAAAATAAACATGAATATTAGACTTTGAGTTCTCAGAAAGACTCTTGGCCATTTCCATTGACTCACTCTCAAGCTTCCTTCTGTGTTACTTAATGTTCTGTCTCATTTTTCAATGCCCACTTCCAGTAACTCAGGAAGAATATTCCTTTCACTTTATTATGTAGAGTAATTTCTTGTGTCTCTGTACCTGAGGTTGCATACCAAAGGTTCACTGCTGAACTGTGCTAAGTAATAATCTTGCAGGTCTTATTCTTCACCAATAGGATTTTCTAGTTCAGTGGTTCTCAAACTTTTTGGTCTTAGGGCCCTTGTATTCTCCTAAAAATTATTACAGCCTCCAAGGAAATTTTCTAAGGGTATGTGGCTTATATCCAGTGGTATGCTGGCAAATGTTAATAGCTGTCTCTCTGGGGGGGCAGGAAAAAAACCTCTGATTTGTAGCATTTGTCAATTTCTGTGGTATAAGTACTCCGACCATAACCCATTTTAAACTACCAATGGTGTTAATAATTGACTCACAGAATTCCTGGAAATTCAACTGGGTTGTACAAGTTGGCTCCACTATATCACTGGTTATATCTACCAATAGCTATCATATTTGGAATCAAAACTGAGAAATTGAAAAATTATTTAGTAATTGATTTAAAGTATCACATTCTACTAAAAACTGTATTTTCGAAGATAGAAGGAATTATTAAGAACATGGCATTGTTTTAGTCTTGGCACATCCTTTAATGTTTGGATTAGTTGAGAACAATTGGATTTTTATGTCTGTTTCTGCATTCATTTTGTGGCCATATACTGTTTTGGTTGAAACATTTAAAGAAAAACTCTCAGATATGTAGTTGGAAAAAGGAGTATTGTAACAGTGTTTTCAGATAATTGTGAATACTCTTTGACACCAGACAAAACTCAGCAAGGGATGGTTTCTTTATTGTTGGTTGCAATGTGGAATCTGAAACCATATCAATGTTTTTTGGGGGTATTCCTTTATGCTAAAGTGCATCAATTTATCTTATGATTTGGATGGGTCTTTTATACATGTATGACCTTAAAAACAGTCTCAAAGACCCCTAGAGTTTCCTGGATCATACTTTAAGGAACTTCATCCTAGGAAAAAAGAGCAGAATAAAAATTTATCCCACACTAATATGAATTATGGCACATTCCTCCACACTATTTCTGCCCCTTGGAAGGCAAATGTGTCTATGGTTGGTTTGGGTTTCATTTAATATCTTTTTTTTCCCCTGGGTGCATTTTGTTAAACAGGAAGGCCCTTTATGTATGTCAATGCTACAGACTTGGATGATCCAGCCACACTCAATGGCCAACTTATTTATCAGATTCTCATGCAGCTTCCTAAGGTCAACGATGTCATGTACTTTCAGATCAACAACCAAACGGGAGGAATTTCACTTACTCCACAAGGTGAGTTAAGTGATGCTCTCATGGGATTCTCTGAATCAATGCAAAGGACCTAGATCCGTATCATCTTCAGAGACATTTCCTTTTCTTTTCTCTCTTACTTCCCATAGGATCCCAGGAATTGGATCCTTTGAAGAATCCTTCCTACAAGCTGGTGGTCTCAGTGGAAGACATGGGAGGCCTGAATGAGCATTCCTTTAGTGACAGCGCACCTGTGGTTATTACGGTGAAGGAGAATATTTGGAAAGCGCCAGAACCTGTGGAGATTGAAGAAAACTTGACTCAACCTTACCCCATTAAAATCACTCAGGTAGTGCCCAAGGAATGCTAACAGCCTGCCCATTCAATGCACTCACATTGTCGGGGCCCACCCTCATGGTCTTCACTGATGTTTTTGCATAGTGTCATTATAAAGCAAACTAAATAAACAAAATCTCTGGCCCCAAGTCTCTGGAGTTTGCCATCATGGGTGAACTCTGGACTGTACCAACTTAGATTCATGTGTGCTAAGTCACTTCAGTCATGTCTGACTCTCTCTGACCCTATGGACTATAGCCCACCAGGCTCCTCTGTCCATGGGATTTTCCGAGCAAGAGTAGTGGAACAGGTCGCCATTTCCTTCTGCAGGGTATCTTTCTGACCCAGGGATCGAATCCAAGTTTCCTGCATGGCAGGCAGATTCTTTATCATCTGAGCGACTAGGGAAGCCCAACTTACATATATTTGAGTTTTAAAAGAGAACTTTACTCACCTTCGTTTTCTAAGTAGATAACGCTGTTTTCTTTCTCTTGTCTGTAGTGTAGGATATGGTTGAGTTGTTTGTGGTACTTGTGCATGATTTGAATTTGAGACTGCGAATTACTTTTGAAAGGTTGCTTCTTATTCCGGTGGGAAAATCTTGATGTGAAAGATCAGCCCCATCATAGGCTGAGGGGCAGAGATAGGACCGGCCAAGAGTAAGAGCTGAGTAGACAACTTTTATCTTTGGAGCCCACCCCCTTCCCAACGCCATCCCCTGTAGGTACCTCCCCTCTCCCTTCAGGCCCTCCGCTGGTCCCACCTGTGTCTCACTCTGAGCCTCCTCTTCCTTCTTTAACCCCTGGAAATCCACTCTGGGGCCCACCCAGATCTGATCTTTCCTGGGAGATCAGGAGATTTCTTGACACCAAAAGAGCTGTGAGTCGGTGGAAGAGCACTGGATTTGGAAGCAGATAAGTAAAACCACTGTTGCACTCAATATGCCAGCAAATTTAGAAAACTCAGCAGTGGCCACAGGACTGGAAAAGGTCAGTTTTCATTCCAATACCAAAGAAAGGCAATCCCAAAGAATGCTCAAACTACCGCACAATTGCACTCATCTCACGTGCTAGTAAAGTAATGCTCAAAATTCTCCAAGCCAGGCTTCAGCAATACGTGAACTGAGAACTTCCAGATGTTCAAGCTGGTTTTAGAAAAGGCAGAGGAACCAAAAATCAAATTGCCAACATCTGCTGGATCATCGAAAAAGCAAGAGAGTTCTGGAAAAATATCTATTTCTGCTTTATTGACCATGCCAAAGCCTTCGACTGCGTGGATCACAATAAACTGTGGAAAATTCTGAAAGAGATGGGAATACCAGACCACCTGACCTGCTTCTAGAGAAACCTGTATGCAGGTGAGGAAGCAACAGTTAGAACTGGACATGGAACAACAGACTGGTTCCAAATAGGAAAAGAAGTACATCAAGGCTGTATATTGTCACCCTGCTTATTTAACTTATACGCAGAGTACATCATGAGAAACGCTGGGCTGGAAGAAGCACAAGCTGGAATCAAGATTGCCGGAAGAAATATCAATAACCTCAGATATGCAGATGATACCACCCTTATGGCAGAGAGTGAAGAGGAACTAAAAAGCCTCTTGATGAAAGTGAAAGAGGAGAGTGAAAAAGTTGGCTTAAAGCTCAACATTCAGAAAACTAAGATCATGGCATCTGGTCCCATCACCTCATGGGAAATAGATGGAGAGACAGTGAAAACAGTGTCAGACTTCATTTTTTTGGGCTCCAAAATCACTGCAGATGGTGATTGCAGCCATGAAATTAAAAGACGCTTACTCCTTGGAAGGAAAGTTATGACCAACCTAGATAGCATATTAAAAAGCAGAGACATTACTTTCCCAACAAAGGTCCGTCTGGTCAAGGCTATCGTTTTTCCAGTGGTCATGTATGGATATGAGAGTTGGACTTTGAAGAAAGCTGAGTGCCAAAGAATTGATGCTTTTGAACTGTGGTGTTGGAGAAGACTCTTGAGAGTCCCTTGGACTGCAAGGAGATCCAACCAGTCCATCCTAAAGGAGATCAGTCCTGGGTGTTCCTTGGAAGGACTGATGCTGAGGCTGAAACTCCAATACTTTGGCCACCTCATGTGAAGAGTTGACTCATTGGAAAAGACCCTGATGCTGGGAGGAATTGGGGGCAGGTGGAGAAGGGGACGACACAGGATGAGATGGCTGGATGACATCACCAACTGGATGGGGATGAGTTTGAGTAAACTTCGGGAGCTGGTAATGGACAGGGAGGCCTGGCGTGTTGCGATTCATGGGGTCGCAAAGAGTCGGACACGACTGAGTGACTGAACTGAACTGAACTGAAGTAAAACCACATTCTTGCTCTATTATCTCAAGGACTGATCATAAACAAAGAAAGTGAAAGTGAAGTTGCTCAGTCCTGTCTGACTCTGTGTGACCCCATGGACTGTAGCCTGCCAGACTCCTCCGTCCATGGGATTTTCTAGGCAAGGATACTGGAGTGGGTTGCCATTTCCTTCTCCAGAGGATCTTCCCGACCCGGGGATTGAACCCAGGTCTCCCACACTGAAGGCAGATGCTTTACCGTCTGAGCCACCAGGGAAGCATAAACCAGTCGTTTATTATTTATGAGGAGTTGAGGCAACTTCTCACCAATGAAATGGGGATAACGACAGCTCTTTGGGGTGTGGCGGAAATTAATTAGTATCTGTGAAAGTGGATAAAAGGTATTGACGTTATGAGGCAGTTCTAGTGTCTAGTACTCCTATTTTTTGTTTAATGGCGCTGCTGTTGTTAAGGGGTCCTGGAATGGCCCATCCCACCGTATCTATCATCTAACTTAAGATTTTTATTTATTGAAGTTTTTTAATGTGAAAAGTGTTTCACCTTTTATTTATTTAATTATTTATTTAGTTGGAGGATAATTTCTATACAATGTTGTGTTTGTTTTATGCCATACAACAATGTGAATCAGTCATAACTGTATATATATCCCTTCCCTCTGAAGCTCCTCTCTCACCGACCCCCCCTGCCCCCTATCCCAGCCCTCACAGTGCGCCAGGCTGGGCTCCCTGTGTTATATAGCAGCTTCCCACTTGTTGAATGTTGAATTAATGAATTTCACCTTCGGAAGAAAAAAAATGAAAGCAAGAAGTATTCTGCTTTACCAGATAATAAAGTATATCAGGACTCACTACCCAAAGAATTTCAGTTTGGTTTCCTTTATGAAAGTCTTCCTATTTATTATTCAGGTTGCCTTCATAAGGATTTGTAAATGCTAAAAAAAAAAAAAATGCATATACTTATTTTTTCATTTTGTCAAAGAAAAGAAAATATAAAGAGCCACAGCCAATACCCAGGCCTGGGAAAAGTACTCCATGTGTCTTCAAACTGAGGAAGAAGAGTGCAGGGGGACAAGATGGAAGAACTTGGGCTGAATTTGTAGGGCATAATGGGAGCTTGCTTACAACCAAGAACATGATCTTTGGCTTGGAGCTTAAATAACTAGAAAAGGACAGTGGTGGCTCCTTGATACCCTTCTGAAGCTGTCTTTGAGAAAATAGTTTAGTGTAGAAATTTCTACACTGAACTAAGTATAGGACCTAAGTGTAAACCTAAGTGTAGGACTTTAGGCAAGTCGTGTAAATATTCTGTGTGCTAGTTGCTCCATTTATAAGATGGGGATAACAATAGTGTCTACCTCATGAGACTGTTTGTGGATTTAATGAGATACTTGAAAGTATTTAGAATTATGTCTGAAATGGGGCACAACCCTCAATAAGTATTGTTATTAGTAGTAAGTAGATTATCATATAGGCTAGGCTCTGTCTGTAGCAAGTAGATGGGACTTACTATTGAGTTTATTGATTTTTATTTATTTATTTTTTTGCCAAGTTATTTACAAAACAACACTGGGAGTTGGCAAATATTCTTATCCCTAAAGTCTATGAGATTAAATATTTAGGGGAGAGATTTCTTTATTTATGTATCACTTGTCTTAAATAACAGCATGGTGAAGAATTGAAAGCGTCTCCTATCTTTACTGGGGAGTTTTAGGAGCTTGTCATTCATCATGGCTTTGTCCTCAGATAATGTCAGATACTAAGTATATCTTGTTTCTTAAACTGGTGTTTCATGACAGGAAGTCTTCACAGCCAGCCTTCCAAATGAACAACCTATAGACTCTTCAGAGGGTTCACAAAGAATTGCTTTAGGGAAGGGAAACACCGCTCTGTGCTTATTTGGAGCAATATAACAGTGAAAAGGCAAAAAAGGAGAGGGATTATTTTAGGTTGAAAACTAAAAATGTAATTTAGCAGTTATGAGAAACCACAGACATCCAAACAAGGTTGTCAGAAATTTCAAATGGAGAGCTAGAAAATTGCTTATTTCCTTTACAGTTCTCTCCGTCGGGGTCTGTCTTTCCTCACATTTTGCTCTGGGCCCTGTAGGTGCAGTGGAATGATCCAGGTGCTCTATACTCCTTAGTGGGCAAGGAGAACACACCACGACTTCCATTTTCGATCGACCAGGAAGGAGATATTTATGTGACTGAGCCCTTGGACCGAGAAGAAAAGGACGAAGTAAGTAAAACTAAGAGGAGGTTCGTGGGTGACAAGGCAAGCTCTTGTGCCCATGGAGGTCTGAGGGCAGAAGGGATTTTCACTTAACACCCGCACCACCACCCCCAAGCCCCCAAACTGTGTTCTGAACCTCAGTGCCTTATTGCTCTTAGAGACATGGAAATAACCCCACAAGTTTGATCCATTTTATATTTTCTCATTTCGCAGTTCTAAATGAATTGAAAATAAGGGGATAAATGAAATAGTCTTGAAACAGTTGTTTTCTCTGCCTTTTAAAGAGGCTGATGAAGGACTCATGTTTTACCTCTGATCTTCTTATAGTATGTTTTCTACGCGGTTGCAAGGGATGAGCAGGGGAAACTACTCTCAAAACCACTGGAAATTCAAGTGAAAGTGAAAGACATCAATGATAACCCACCTACGTGTCCATCTCCAGTGACTGTACTTGAGGTCCAGGAGAATGAGCAAATAGGTAAGAAAGTGCGTGTCTGTCTTCCTCAACTCTGTAGTCCCTTTCTCCTCCCTGTTGGGTAAATGGTGGGCAGGCAAACCTGACTGGGGACTGGCTGTCCAAGCCCAACACAGCATAGAGGTAGAATGCACTTTGGGACTCACATAGGTACAGTATTTCAGTTCAGGGAATATCCGAGAAGTGTTCCAAAATTGGAGTTTTCTAACTACCACCCCTACTCATAGCACTTTCAGTGCCACTGCCATTGCTACTACTGCTATTACTATTACTGTTACAACCCTTACACCTACCGTGAGCGCCGGAACCACTTACACCAGTATCCTGCATAAATGTGTCAGGTTATCTCATCTGCAAAGTTTTCCCATAGATTTCTTATTTGCCTTCCAAAAAAGTCAGTGACAGATGTAATCCCATCAAATTTGCTAAATAATTTAAACAAACGTTCACACTCCATGTTAGATACCCTGCAATTCACCCTCTCTAGGAAGCTGATAAAAGCTCATGGGGCTTGAAGATGAAGTTCAATTTCTATCTGTTTTTGTCCTTTTGTTCTTGACCTGCTTCGTTTCTTTGTACTGTGCCAAGATAGCTTTAGTTTTGTGCAGGAACAACTACTGTTAGAACACTGATTTCTGGGAGTTTTATGACTTCACTGGATTTGGGACACCTCTTGTCTATTACTCCTTACTGCTGAGCTCATTGGTTGTGCAGAAGATCTTTGAAAACCTCTGTAGATGATACCTCAAGTATCTTTGCGTAGGGCCCAACATTTAGCATATTAGTCATCTATGCTGCGTAACAAACTGCTCCAAAATTTAGCAGCTTAAAACAACAAACATTGATCATCTCACAGTTTCTCTGGGTCAGGGATCTGGACATGGGGTGAGTACCTTTCATTCAGAAAGAGAGAGAGTTAAAAAAAGTAAGATGAAAGTCAGTCTTTTTCTAACCTAATCTCACAAGTGACATCCCATAGCTTTTGCCATATTCATTAGAAATCAGTCACTAAGCCCAGCTGACAGTCAAAAGGAGGCAGTTACAGCAAGGCATCACTGTCAGGGGTGGGGTGATTGCTGGGGGCCATCATAGTGGTGGCCTGCCTTACTAGGGAGGATAGCACTAGTTTTCTGAGACTAGTGAGGATGTCACTGTTGGTAAAACAAATTGTTCAAGGGTGCAGCCTCTCCAAAAGTGATAATTTATTTTGTAACAATGTTTTGCAGTCTTGAGTTGTGGACTTAATGGACCAGGAATTCTCATAAATCAACACAGAATGAGTCTATTCTAATATATAGCCTAAAAAAGGCACCCCCAAAAATGTCCCTGCCTTTTGGGGTCTTACTATCTAGCTTGCTAAAATACTAAATTATTCTTTCATATATTTATATTCTCCAGTTTGGTGTCTTGTATCGGCCAGAAACTTGTGAGACTCACGTCCCCAAGTCTTAGCAGTGCCAACTTTAATTCTGAAATCCCACTTGCCACCAACACCTTTGTGTTCACACCAGAACTTTATCCTCTCATAAAAGCCCCACCTCCCCAAAGTATTTCTCAGTGCCCCAAGAAATGCTGTATATATCTCTAAATCAGTTTGGGCTGCCACTTGTTCCTGGCATTTGTCACTCGGAGATAAGACACTTCTTTTTTTTTCCCCCATTTATTTTTTATTAGTTGGAGGCTAATTACTTTACAATATTGTAGTGGTTTTTGTCATACATTGACATGAATCAGCCATGGATTTACATGTATTCCCCATCCCGGTCCCCCCTCCCACCTCCCTCTCCACCCAATCTCTCTGGGTCTTCCCAGGGCACCAGGCTCGAGCACTTGTCTCATGCATCCAACCTGGGCTGGTGATCTGTTTCACTATAGATAATATACATGTTTTGATGCTGTTCTCTCGAAACATCCCACCCTTGCCTTCTCCCACAGAGTCCAAAAGTCTGTTCTGTACATCTGTGTCTCTATTTCTGTTTTGCGTATAGGGTTATCGTTACCATCTTTCTAAATTCCATATATATGTGTTAGTATACTGTATTGGTCTTTATCTTTCTGGCTTACTTTGCTCTGTATAATGGGCTCCAGTTTCATCCATCTCATTAGAACTGATTCAAACGCATTCTTTTTAATGGCTGGGTAATATTCCATGGTGTATATGTACCACAGCTTCCTTATCCTTTCACTCCTGGCTCATTCATAAAGTCCTCCGCTCCCACTGAGTGGTGCTCCCTACCGGAATTTCCCTGTCATTGATGCCAAACAGTCCTGGTGTCTCTGACAGCTGGAGGGTTCCCCCACAGTGAGGGAAGACTGGCGTCCTCTGTGTTAGGCTCAGCTCACTTGCCAGGGGAAGGGTCCCGAGCAGGGCTGCTCAGACGCCAAAGTGAAAGTGAAAGTCTCTCAGTCATGTCCGACTCTTTGCAACCCCATGGACTATATAGAGTCCATGGAATTCTCCAGTCCAGAATACTGGAGTGGGTAGCCTTTCCCTTCTCCAGGCGATCTTTCCAACCCAGGGATCGAACCCAGGTCTGCCCCATTGCAGGCGGGTTCTTTACCAGCTGGGCCACAAGGGAAGCCCTCAGACACCAAACCATCACAGAATTTAGAGAGACGCGCTTTCATTCCAGCACACAGGTGCTTTTCTTACAAGGGCAGATGCAGATTCCAAAGGTGACTTGGTTGCTTGTGAGGACGCAGAAATGGCAGCTACTACCACACTAGACACACGTTCTGATGCCTCTCCGCCCCTGGCCAGGAGACACGTCAGCCAGAGCAACCCCCTTAGAGGCATAACCTAAGTACTTCCATTCCTTCCCTCACAAAACCCTCCAAATCTCCCTGTGAATCAGTAGATGCAAAGTAACAGGGTGCGGGGATAAAGCCAGACTCCGCAAGAGGGATACATATCCAAGTTCCAGCCTCACGTGGGATTCCGGCTGTGTGTAGAGAAATGCACAATTTCCATCTAATGCAGCAAGATGACCCAGCATCTACCAGAGCTCATCCAGACAGACCTGGGTAGAGCACTGTGCTGTGACCAGACTTCTAGAACTCCCTGGACTGAGATGCTCACAGAATTCAAACTTAGGTCCATAAACTGCAGCGAGGCAGAGAGGACGCCTCCCTGCTCTCCGCCCCGTGCGGTCTTTATCTCTGGGGTGGAGTCAGTCTCTGCCATTGTTCCAGAAACTTGCTTAGAATTCAGCACAGCTGGCTTGTCCTTCTTAGTGTTACCATTTGCCTTGTGCAAATGTGCAAGAGGGCGGCTATAACAAATGACCACCGACTTGGAGACTTGAAACAACAGAAATGTATTCGCACAGAGTTCTGGAGGCTAGAAGTCTGCGATCCCGTGAGGGGAGAATCCTGGCCCCTGGTGGCTCCTGGCATTCGTTGGCTGCTCCTGGTGGTCACGCTGCAGTCTCTGCCCTCTTCACATTGCCTCCTCCTCCGTGAGTGTCTCTGTTGCCTTTTCTGTACTTAGGGCCCAATCCACATCCAGGATGGTTCACCTCAAGACCCTGACTTGGGTCCTCCTGAATTCAGGAGGTGAAGTCCTAGCCCCCGGCACCTCAAAGGGGGACCATCATTTAGAGACAGGGTCTTCAATGTCATTAGCGTGAGTCTTAACCCAATATGACTGGTGTCCTTCTGAGAAGAGAAAATCTAGATAGACACAGGACGGGGGGAGACCATGTGCAAACACATGCAGCAGATGGCCATCTATAAGCCAGAGATCTCTGAAGAAATCAGTCCTACCACACCTTGCTCTCAGACCTCTAGTCTCCAGAAACTGAGAAAATAAATTGCTGTTGTGAAAGCCATCCATTGTGTGGTCACTTTTTTTTTTATGGCAAGCCCTAGCCAGCTAAAAATGGCCTTCCCTGGTGGCTCAGGCGGTAAAGAATCCGCCTGCAATGCAGGAGACCCAGGTTCCATCCCTGGGTTGGAACATCCCTGGAGAAGGGAGCAGCAACCCACTCCAGCATTCTGGCCTGGAGAACTCCATGGACGGCGGAGCCCTGCGGTCTACAGCCCATGGAGTCGCAAAGAATTGGATGCGACTTAGTGACTAACACACACATATGCAGCCAACTAAGACCTGCTCCACACACTGCACTGCTGAAAAGGTTAGGAGCACCAGCATCAATCTAAGAATTTTATTCTGCTTCTCACGGTTACTTCCAGTGCTTTCTAGGAACCCGATTCTCCACGGAAGCCATTTTTCAATAGGCTAAAAAGTATAACGGATGGGTTTCCTTCTTTCTTTCCGTACAGGGAGCAGTATTGGAACTCTTATTGCTCATGACATGGATGAAGAAAACACTGTCAACAGTGTTTTAGAATACAGAATTGTGGATCAAACTCCCAAAGTTCCTCGAGATGGTCTGTTCCTGGTCCACACATACCATGGAACACTCCAGTTAGTGGTGCAGTCGTTGCACAAGCGGGACACTCCGCAGTACAACCTGACCGTAGAGGTGTCTAACGAAGGTTAGTATCACCTTCACGGTGTCGAGTGAAAACACTTGTCTTCTTTCTAGTTGTGATTGTTAGGCTGCTCTAATGCCTGGGTGTGTTACAAAGGCTGCCATTGAAAAAGGTATTGCTTCCCACGTAAAACAAGCCCAGAAGCCAGCATGGGAACGGCCAGAGTTGCAGCTCAGAAAGTGTGATTATGTTTGTTTTCTGAGAAGTAGATGCCCAAGAGGGGATTAAATATATAAGGATTTTATTAGGGGAACTGCCTATGAGAAAAAATGGAAAGGGATACAGAGGAGGCTGGAAGAACCCTCAGACCTCAATACGAGCCTGACCCTGAGTGGAGGAGGGAAGGAATGAAAGTGCTGGGGAAGCTCCCGGTCAAAGGGAAGTTCGGCAAGGTCATCGGAGGTCCGCGGTTGGCTGTGGAAGGAATCTGTGGTCCCCAAAGGCAGGCCTACCTTAGCCTGCCTGCCTTGTTCAGGCACTGCTGGGGCAGCCAATGGGAAGCAAGGTCTTGGTGCACACGTGGTGATGGGTTTCAGAGCCCGGCAGCTCATTGTCAATTAAGATCCCTGTTGTTAGAAGTCATTGGCAAGCCTCGTTGTCATGGCCACCGTGATCACAAACAAGAAAGTTAGTTGTATTTCTCAAGTCTCCCTTTCAGACTCAAAGGCTTTTACTGTATGACAGTGAAGGAACTTCTGGAAAGCTTTGCCTTCTCCTATTAGCTTCTAATTGGCTGTTTGATGATATCAGGAAACATTCATCTTTATACTTTATACAATTTCAAAGCAAGTGGTTTTTAATCTTTGCTAAGTCATGAGACCCGTTGAGAATCTGATGGAAACTATGAATTCCTAAACAAATTCATACGTTCTCAGATAAATTGCACAGACACACAAACATACTTGACCTCAGAGACAGGCTTATTTTAGGATCATTAACACTTCTAAGTTAAGAATCTTTCTTTGAGCTAACTGGTACTGTGTCTTAAATAACCAAGTAGTTCAGTAATTATTACTCTAGGAGAGAAAGATTATATAGGTATGCTGTAGTAAAGAGTGTCATTTCACATTGTGCTTCATATTTTTTTTCTTTATCCAGATATTGAGATACTAAAGAGATCTAAGAGTACTGGGGTTTACCCAGCCCCCAAAGCAGGAAGTTTGAGACATAGTAATTTGGCAAATATAGAGGGCCTAACATAATGCTTAGCATTATGCTAAGAGGTACAACGAAAGTGGGTGTAATAAATCATCCCTGTCTGTGATGAGCTGACAATTTCACACCATTAGCCAGCCATTCTTCCAGTGGTTACTGAATATTTACCTTGATTGAGGCACCATTCAAGGTACTGGGAATGTGCAAATAAATAAGACCCGGTGTCTGTCCTCAAGGAGCACTTTTTGTTAGAGGAGATGGAGAAGTGAATAAATAAATTATAAGGAATACGTACAAGGTAACCCATGAAAGCAATGAGTGACTCAGTGGAGAGGGAGAGAGAACTGATAAAGCTTTCTGGAAGAGGTGTCATTAATGAGTTTCAGAGGATGAATATGACATGTTACAAAACAGTGTAAAGGCTTACAAAGGAGAAGAAAGTCCATGTGCAAATGCATGGAGACCCAAAGCAGTTTGATGCCATAAGAGCATAAAGTGGAAATCAGATTACAAATTGTCTATATACATGAATACATCTATAGACTATATGGACCAGATTATGCAATATATTTATTTGTAAATATATGTGTGTTGATGGAATTAAACATTCAATTGTGTACTACAGAAAATTGGTCAGTAGGCTATAATTAGCATAGTTTTACATAAATTCAGGGAAGTGATTTTATTAACATAAAACCACAAGGCTCACTGCTGGTCCAAATGAGGCTTACTTGGAATAGGCAAGTGGTAAGTTCAGGCCCTGGGACCTCTCCAAATCTCCAGACATTCTTGCTGTCTACAAATGTCCTTGGGACTGGACCCAGCTTTAATTAGCATCCACTTATTTATAAGATGGTTATTATTAGGTTACATGCCTGGCCTTGTGTCTGGTGTGTTGAGAACAAGCTCTGGAGCTAGGCAGCCTGAGTATGTTTGTCAGCATCCCAGGAAAAGAAAGCTCCCTTCAAAGAAGTAACCAAAAGGAGAGTCAAGAAGGGATTGTCTGTAAAGCTGTGGGTAGGGGTTATGGAAAGCCAGCAGGAGGTGTGAAGCACAGTAGAGTCATTTTTACCCCAAGGTTTGAAGGGGCAAGGGAAGGGCCCTCCCCTGAAGGAGCAGGCCCTGGGTCTGGGGCTGTGACTCTAGAGGAAGCTGCTGGCAGTGGGAGCCAGACTCTGACTCCGTGCTCCTGCCCTTCCTCAGACCTCCTGCCAGTCTCCCCCTGGTAGAACTCAGCTGCTACCCAGAGGGCCAGGATGCCCAGTGATGCTGTTCCTAAGGTCAGCCTCCAGGGCACAGAGCAGGGTGAAGGGCGGGGAGCAGATGGAGAGGACTGAGGAGCACATGGATTCAAATTCTGGCTCGACCACGAGCTAGCTGTGGGACCTTGGTCAAGTTACCCTTGGCTTCCTTGGTTGTGAACTAAATGAAAATGGTAATAGTACCTACATCACACAGTCAGAGTGAAGATGAAGTGAGTCATGTAAGCAAAGCACTTAATACCGCGCCTGATACACAGAGAGTGCCAGCAGTGTCTGTTATGATGAGAACCTTGATTTTGTTGCTATCTGCATTTTGTAAACTGACTACCACACACTGATTTCAAGTAACATGCCCAACCTCTTACACATCTGATAAGTAGCAGAGACAGAATTTCAGTGGTGGGGTTCCAGAGCCCAAAGTCTTAGCCATTGTATAATACAGGCTTCATGGTTGGAATAATGGAAACGTGGATCCCATCCTGTTGGGCTTCATGTGGCTGTTTTTCTGGGGATCCCATCCCTACCCATACTCCATGCTCACCTTGGATCCAGGTTGACTTCTGTCTCTGACTAGGTCTCTGAACTGTCAAACCCACCCCTCAAAGCCACTTTCCAGGATTCTGTGAGCTGCCTCTGGGTAGGCATGCCCTTGGAAGAGGGCTAATTGTATCATGGGCTTCCCAGGTGGTGCTGGGGGTAAAGAACCCACCTGCCGATGCAGGATACGTAAGAGACGTGGGTAAAATACTGGGTCAGGAAGATTCCCCTGGAGGAGGACATGGCAACCCACTCCAGTCCTCTTGCCTGGGAAATCCCACGGACAGAGGAGCCTGGAAGGCTACAGTCCATAAGGTCGTAAAGAGTCGGACACGACTGAAGCGACTTTGTACACAGACACACAATTGTACCTTGCCTCCCTTCACTTGGGCCTTCCCTTTATGGCGGCAGAAGAGATAAGGACAGTGAGTGCTGGAAGTGTTCAGAGAAGGAAAGACAACCTTCTGGGATGCTCAAAGAAGCTTTCTAGAAGGACAGTTTTGCACTGGGCTTTGAAGGCTACGTAAGTTTCACTAGTCAGAAAAGAGAGGCTGCTTCTCAGAAAGCCTGGCTCAGGAACAAGATTTTACCAGGGAGGAGGCAGGTGGATGGAGCGGGAAGCCCAGAGGAGCCTCTCCCAGGGTTTTCTTCTGCCCCACCTTGGTGACCTACACGTGGGTGTTGGTGGGGAGCAGAGAAACTCCTTGCCACGCACCTCGCAGGTCACTAGTCAGACTGTGGCATGACTGTCACGGTAATTGCCAATTGTTTTTTCTTGCAGATTTCTGATCTTAATGCATGATTTTCAGTGAAAATTTTTGTGATATGCTTTTGATTTTCAGACTTCAAGACCCTCTGCTTTGTGCAAATCAACGTTATTGATATCAACGATCAGATCCCCATCTTTGAAAAGTCAGATGTGAGTAGTCGTCACCTTGGTTTTGCTTTACTTTGTTTATATTACCTGACCCCTACTCCTGGAATAGAGACACAAATAGTAGTTAGGGATAATGCCAGATTTAATATCTTAGTTAATACGCTGGTAGTAAACTCAGGCCTCGTCTTCAGTGCAAATCTTCTGGGAACAGTAACATTCACTGTTATAGTATCTGTGAGCATCTGTTTATAAACTTTTGCCAACAGCTCATTTATTTCAAGGACTGCTTGAAAGCTACAAGCACAGTCTTTGTCAAATTGAGATGAATTGAATGGCTGCTTGCAGTTTGCCTTTATATATTTTGTGTGTATAGGACAATAAATAGATTATTGCTAGATTCTCAAACAAGAATTTTAGTCAGAATTTAAAATCTTGCAAAATATTGGCAATTTAAACCCACCTTGCAATAATTGAATAAGAGTCCTGTAGTCATACATGGATGTGAGAATATCTGAAGGCTGAGCCCCGAAGAATTGATGCCTTCGAACTGTGGTGCTAGAGAAGACTCTTAAGCGTCCCTTGGACTACAAGGAGATCAAACCAGTCAATCCTAAAGGAAATCAACCCTGAATATTCATTGGAGGGACTGGTGCTGAAGCTGAATCTCCAATACTTTGGCCCCCTGATGCAAAGAGTCAGTTCATTGGAAAAGACCCTGATGCTGGGAAAGATTGAAGGCAGGAAGAGAAGGGGATGACAGAGGATAAGATGGTTGGATGGCATCATCGACTCAGTGCAAACTCTGGGAGATGGTGAAGGACAGGGGAGCCTGGCGTGCTTCAGTCCATGAGGTTACAAAAAGTCAGACATGGCTGAGCAACTGAATAACAACAACAAAGTCGAAGAAAAAGCTAATCTCTGGTTTATGCCAAAAGAATGTGCTCATGACACTTGCAAAAATGAGAAGAACTGGGCAAAAAGAGCAGGAGGAAAAAGATCAGTTGACTACATCAAGAAGAATTCAAGCTAATTTATTGTTAATGTGGGCTTTGAACTTGGCAGTAGTTTTATCATTGCTTCCCTTAAAATGGATGCCTCTATTTATTTATTCTGGAGGAGAGAGAAGCTGTTTTGACTAGATTGTTATGTTTGAAGTCAGTGATGAGGCAGCCCAGAGTCTTGTGATGATGTTCATAAATCAAAATAAGGATAAAGCTGTGACAAAGAAAGGGAATTGATTTACAGGAGGGTTTGCAGAGGTAAAAGGTGTGACAATATAACTTGTGTAGCGGGCACTGAGGTTAAGTGGGCATGAGATTAAGAGCCTGTCTCGTCTCTGCCTCCATTCTCTTGGGTATTTGATCTTTTCTCTGTGTTATAGTTGCCTCGCATTACATCTAGACAGTGCTTTTAGACTGAGGACAAGAGTTCTGCTTTAGGAATCTCAGAGCTTGGAAAGGCAAACGGGGCTCTAGAAAGTGGGTCCATTTCTTTTGCTGCCATGGTCCACTCCTGGACCCTGCCTGTTATCATCTTCATGATTGTGATGCCAAGAGACATGACCTGGGGGATTTTCAGTGGAGGAGTGAGAGATTAACAGCACCTGCTTTGGAGGTGGACAAGCATGGATTTGAAACCCAATTCTGGGCCAGCTAGCTGTGTGGTCTTGAGTAGGTTTTTTTTTTTGATTCCCAATTATTTTTATTAGTTGGAGGCTAATTACTTTACAATATTGTAGTGGTTTTTTGCCATACATTGACATGAATCAGCCATGGATTTACATGTGTTCCCCATCCTGAGCCCCCGCTCCCACCTCCCTCCCCATCCCATCCCTTTGAGTGGGTTTTACCTCTCCAATCTTTTCTTCTCTGTCAAATGGAGATGATAACACAGCTCTTCAGTAGGGCATTTTGTCTTGTTGCTTATCTTTATTGAGCACTTATTATGTGCCAGGCATCCAGAGGTTTTATATGTATTATCTCTGTAAATCCAAACAGAAAATGTAAAATAGCTTCCATTTTTATTATGTCCAATGGACAGAGGATGAACTTGAGGCTTTAAAAAATCAGATAACTTATTTCAATTCACCCAGGTAATAAGTGGCCAGCCTAGGATTCATACTGAGGCCATTTGACTCCAAAGTTCAGGCTCTTAACAACTATTCTCTGATTGATTAAGAGTTAATTAAAATGATATAGGTAAAGTGCCTGTCACATTGTAGGTACTCAATACATAGTAGCTATTTATCTGTCTCATTACTAATAACTGTAATGATAGTTACAGTTATTAAATATATTGGATGCGGGTGGGAGAATCTGTTTTAGAATCCTATCAGTAGCTCCCTGAGACACTGTTGGTATAACAGATATCAGTCTACAAGTGTGACTGGTGTCAAAAGCAACTGCATTCTGCTCATCAACAGGAAAAACATGCTTGGTAAGTATTGATGTAAACTATGACTTGTGTCCATTCTGAAACCTGAGGCAAGTTTGTTCTTTGACAATTGTGCTTGATGACAATGGACATTCTCATTGTTTCTTTCCCCTATTTCCTTCTTAGTATGGAAACCTAACTTTCCCTGAAGACACAGCTGTGGGATCTGTCATCTTAACCATCCAGGCCACAGACGCTGATGAACCACATACTGGGAGTTCTAAAATCCTGTATAGAATTACACAGGGAGACAGTGACGGACGTTTGGAGATTGAAACAGATCCCCAAACCAATACTGGATATGTCAAGCTTAAAAAGGTAAATCGCCCATTGAATGGAATTTGTCTTTTTCATAGATTAGTTTCCTTAGGACCATTCGAGGACCTATAAGCAGAGGTGATGAATTGGTGGTGACCTCTCAGGCGCGTGATGGACTGCTGGAACACCCTCAGTGATTCCTGTCCTCGTGAAAGACAGAGGCCAGGATTCTAGCTCTGGGTCTGTCACTAGGTGACCAAGTAATCTTTGCAGAGGGAGGCAGGATTGCCATAAAAATTATAGAATGGATCATTTTTAGTATTAGTATGTCCCACGTAATAATGGGGACATGCTTACACTAAAAAATTGCTTACTGTTTATCTGAAATTCCAATTTAACCAGGCATTCTTTATTTTTATTTACTAAATCTTGGGCAAGGTGGTGCTCAGGGTTTTATTTTTCCCTTTGCAAGTGTGGGATGTTAGACTAGATGAGTCCCGTGAACCCTTTAGGATGTAGGCTGTTTATTCTAGTGGACCAGCCATAGGCTCCTCTTTTTAATAATGACTGGAGATTGGTAGGTCTCCTTTAATAGGCAAGTTATAATAATCAAATTTATTCTCTTATACCTTCTTCCTGCCCACCCCTTACCTTCATCTTTTATGGCGCTACTAAGTCCACTGGCTCCTGCTTCGTCTCTCCTTTTGTAAGGACTGGGTAGTCCGGAAGCCAAAATCTTGATTACCGTGATACCTGCTTCTTTGTAGAGGGTCTTCCCATTCTTGGCTCAATCTACTCCTATCCCCTACTGTACACACCTGAAGTTTGACCCTCTCCTCCCTGGCTGCCTCATTTATGCATGTTAACTGTGTATCAGATGACTCAACAGGAAGCGGCACTCAATGTCATCCAATATCTTTAGAATGAAAAGAGATCAGAGTTACAACAATGGAGACTCTGCAGACCTGGCTGAATGCTGAGAGTTTGTAGTACAGTATGTGGGAGGCTGCATCAGAAAGCTCTGAAGGGAAGTTTTGACCCAGAATAAAGGTAGAAACTGAAAATGAAGACAAAAGAAAATAATTTTACAAAAAAATGGCTAGAAGCGTGGGGGAAAAAGTGCCAGTGCTGAAGGAAACCCTGGAGCAGAATCTCAGAATTCTGGTAGCGTTCTGACCACACACCCCGCCTCTGACAAACGGCCTCACTGGGTTTCAGCTGCAAGGTTTGTGCGTGGATCTACTTAAAGCCAGTAGTATTTTGTGTGAGTCTGACCTTTGAAAAAGGCGCCGTTACATCTTCCCCCGCTATTCATGGCTGCCTACATGGACTCAAAGAACCCAGAAGGAAAGGCCTGGTCCTGTGGCAGGAGGTGAGGGCAGATAGCATCCTTCCTTCCCCAGGACCAGCACCCTCTAGATGTCTAAGAGAAGATAAAAGGGCTGTCCATCTCAGTATGAAACTCGGTAACTTTTCACGGTGGCTTGTAAACTAATGTAAGTTAATTTGACCATCTGTGGCTAATGGGCACCTATAGGGAAAAGTTGGTAACCTTGATGATCAGCAGTAGGTGAAGGCTCTAAGTATCTTCCCACACCTTCCTTGACATGAGGGGGTGTGTTCCAGCAGTGGGCCTCTGGCCAAAATCTTGGTCACATCTTTATTTTGTTTGTGATTGTATGCCAAGTATATTTGCACATAGTGTAGGTTCAATAAATCTTGGTTGCCTGAATACATAGTTGAATTCTGTCCCATGTGCAATAAATAACAAGCAGGTATGAAAACATCATTCAACTTGTGCTTTAGGCTTTAGGTTTGTGCTGTCCTGGCTCTCCGTCCCGCAGGCCCTGTGATCACAGTAGCCTAGGAAGAGGATTCATCTGACTGTCCATAGAAAAGGTGACGACGATAGAACAGAACTGGAGTCCTGGAACACTGAAGGGTATAAGCTGCTAGACTAGCCAGAGGCTACATTCTTCTTCAAGAATGTATTTTTCCACCAAATTGCATGTCTTGAATACCACTGATATCTCAAAAACCTCTTCGCAAGATCACTTTGGTAATTAACAGACCTTCTAGTGTAGCTTGAGACAGTGCTAGCTCCGAGCCTGTAGCAGCTGCCTCTGGGGTGTGGCTCTGATTGGGATCTTTCAAATGCTAAGTGACAGCCCGCCCAGAGGTGTGGATCCTTGACCAGGATACCCTGGATGTCAGCCAACTGCCCCTAGGATGTGTGTCCTCACCACGACAGATGTGTTCATGCAGTTTACAGTTTTAAAAAATAAATTAGACTCTATTATGTGGTTTCTCTGGTGGCTCAGAGGTAAAGAATCTGCCTGCAATGCAGGAGATGCAGGAGGTGTGGGTTCCATCCCTGGGTTGGGAAGATCCCCTGGAAGAGGGCATGGCATCCCACTCCAGTATTCTTGCCTGGAGAACCCCATGGACAGGGGAGCCTGGCGGGCTACAGTCCATGGGGTCACAGAGAGTCGGACACGACAGAAGCGACTGAGCACGCATGCGTGTGGTTTCTCTTGCATAGCTTAGCCTTTGCTTCAGAACCATTGTGCTGATCATTTCAAAAAATCTAAATCCCAACGTAAGCTATCATGGCTCTCTCAGCACCTGTTCACCTGAGTTAAATGTGCAAATAAACGTGAAACTCGCTCAGTCAGTCCGACTTTGCGACCCCATGGACTATACAGTCCCTGGAATTCTCCAGGCCAGAATACTGGACTGGGTAGCCTTTCCCTTCTCCAGGGGATCTTCCCAACCCAGGGATCGAACCCAGATCTCCCACATTGCAGGCAGATTCTTCACCAGCTGAGCCACAAGGGAAACCCAGGAATACTAGAGTGGGTAGTCTATCTCTTCTCTAGGGGATCTTCCCGACCCAGGAATTGAACCAGGGTCTCCTGCATTGCAGGCAGATTCTTTACCAACTGAGCTATCAGGGAAGCCCTAAATGTGCAAATGGCAACCGGTAAAATTCACCGAGGAGCGCATACTCCACAACTGAAGCCCCTTTCGCTTACTCCTTTGCTTCTCACGCTGACCCCAAGGGAGGCAGAAACAGTCCCATCGTCCAGCTGAGGTTTGGGCTCACAAGTTACAGTCAGCCCCTCTACTAGATGGCGGAGCTGGGAACTTGACCCCTGGCTTCTGACTCCTTTCAGGAAAGAACTGCTATGGGGGCCTGGCATTGCCATGTACTAGCTCTGCAACCTTGACACAAGTGTTGTGACCTCAGACCTCAGTTTTCTGATCTGAAAAACTGGCGAACTGGTAGAACCTTGTTGATGAGGACCCTGGAGGATTCAGTGAAAAAATACACACGTAGCTCTTAAGACAGCCCCTAGCAGGTGGTAGCCAACTTCATAAATGTTCAGCATTATCTTAATTCTAATTAACTGGAGGGAGGGCAGAAGTTAGGACTCTGGCTGTGGACAGATGAGACGTTTTCTCTTCTTGCCAAGGGGGCCGAACTTGCCCGATCCCAGAGTCAAACGGTGCCCACTGGGGACAGCTGACTCAGGCTCTCTGCGGGAGGGCCTAGAAATCAGTCATTTTAGCAAGCGCCCTGCAAAGGCTCTCTCCTCCACTCTTGAGTAATCACTGCACTTCACGGTGGATGCGAGGCGTGTGGGCTTCCCACACACCTATCAATTCTCCAGCGCCAGCCTGGGGTCCTACGACGTAACTCAATTCTGACACTATCTGTCGGGAGACAGCATCCGACCCCCAGGTTAAGGGCTCAGCCCCACTACCCAGCCCCTCTTCAGAAGCCAACCGCAAGCCTCAGGCTGTCGCCTGTTCTTCTGACTGACTGGCTATACATCAAAGGTTCACAACTGCCTCCTTAGTTTCCAGCATTTGCTAGAACAGCTCACAGAGCTCAAGGAAACGCATTTACCAATGTATCACCTAATAAGGGATATGATGAAGGATCCAGCTGAGCAGCCAGATGAAGAGATACATGGAGTGAGGTCTGGGAGGGCCCTGAGAGCAGGAGCTTCCATCTCATGGAGTTGAGTTGTATGTCACTTCCCCAGCTTGTGAATGTGCTCACTAAACCAGAAGCTCTCTGAAAGCCTTACTCTGGGGCTGTTTATTGAGGCTTCATCATGTAGACATGATTGATCATGAACTCAATCTCCAGCTCCTCTCCCCTTCCTGGGATATGGGAGGAGTTGTGCTGAAAATTCCAAGCTTCTAACCATGGCTTGGTCTTGGTCTGATAACCAGTCTCCCTCCTGAAACCATCCAAGGAGCCACCAAGAGTCACCTCATTAGAACAAAAGACACTCCCATCACCCAGGAAATTGCAAGGGATTTAGGAGCTCAGTGTCAGGAACCAGAGGAAAAGACCAAGAAATACTTTTTCTACCAATTCACATGCCCCAAGTGATGCCTGGGAATAAACACGATTTAGAACTGCTGTCCTGTCTGTCTTTACTGCCACCCTGAGCTCCGGCCTATTGTGTGATAGATCAACATGTTCTTCAGACCAAGCAGGTATCAAGAGCCAGGAAGGCTATTTCTCTGAGCCCCGCTGGACTCATCAATAACTCTCCTGAAATTGAAATTCAGACGTTTGTTTTGGCTTTAATGTTGTTTTTTGTGTGTGTGATACAAATTTTGTCACTTCCTCATTATGGTTGGTTCTTTTGAATTCTCAGTACATGATGTGTTTTCAAGCAGCTGGAGTACCATGTGGAAAACTAATGTGCATTTTTTTCTCTTCACTGATTATTGATGAAAATGTTAAATGTCCCTGGTCTCAGCTCCTTTCCTTCAGCACTTTATCTCTGCTTCTATGTTGAACCTAAATCATGGGGTTGACCTTCCAAGCAGTCGCGTATGCAAGAGGGATTGTGGCATGAGTGTGTGTTTTCTGCCTACCTGATGAGTAAAGTCGTGAGGGTCTCTTGACTTGACTCTGCAGGCATATCCCCGTGTCGTGAAAGACAAGGCACGTGGTTTGACAAAGCTTGTTCTTGATTAAACTCTGCTGATCATCACTTGCTAACTTTAGTATCTTCCATTTCTAATTTTATTCC